CTCATGGCAACGCTGCTATCAAGCCACCCTTGTTATTCGAGATTAGATGTCTCCGAGGGATGACTCTTCCTCGTCGTGCAGAACTGGCAACGGTGACGTCGATCAAATAACATCGAACTTGTACAGAAAAAAATAGAGTCTGGATCAGACAATCCAGTGACCAACAGCATGAGCATCGATAAACGCTATTGGGATACGATGACATGTGTCAACCAAGTCAACTACCCGATCAACTTCTGTAATACAAGTATAGGAATATCATAATTGTTTTAAACATGGTTTGGGGGATCTAGAATAATTTGGTTCTGTACACCAATTATTAAGAAATATTAAAGCTAAAATTATACAGATACCAACCATGATCTGCATAGAATTACCTTTGTATTGACATGCATAGTGGATGGGTATGTGCGCTCCCTCTTGCATCAGTTTAATACTGAATTTTCATTGCACACACAACGGTATTGCCTCTAGCATATACCACCTCATCTCACTTTATCTTGCTCATGCCATACATAAACCACCAACACACAAATGTAGGCCACCTCCTCCTGTGGAAAGACATTGGTGAGTCAGTGAGTGTGGTTTTACAGTGCTTGTAGCAATATTCCAGCAACATCACGGAGGGGGACACCAGAAATGGGGTGCACACGTTGTACCCATGTGAGGAACTGAACCCTGGTCTTCAGCATGGCAAGCGGACGCCTTAACCACCAGGGTACACCGCCGCCCAGAAAGACTTTGGTAGCATATACCTGTGCGTTTGCCAATTACATTACAAAAGTACACAGACATATTTCTCATTTAAAGTTTGGACAAAGCGAGCGCATGTTAAATCGAAGTTTACTCATCATGTCTATTGCAGGTCATATGTCTCCTCAATCATGATTCCTTAAATAGAGTAAGTAAGACAACCAGACATATAAAAGTGCATCTCGCTTTACCATTTATGTGAAAGCCGATAACTGACAAGTAACCTTCGTGCGAAGACGCCAATATTACCACGGGGAGAAACATGTTGAATGTAATTGGGAGGCCAATGTGTGTTACACAGGTCACATTATTACTGATTGATAGCTGTATTTATAAGCCTCAAGTGTCAGTAAGTAGACGCCGATGTTGCAGACTTAAGCACGGCCATCAGCGATAAGAGAGGATTTGTTTAAAGTTCACGAAAGAAAAATATCTTTTTCAAGTAATCAGACTAAGATAAATGCCTTAACCATATTCATATAATTGAATGGAAAATACTTTTAACTTGAAAATCCTTTGATGTTGCCTGAGACGTATTTACCATTCATAGAATTATAAAGAACTGTATCCTACAACACACACGATAAACAGTTGGCACTGATGGTGCGAAAGAAATGAGAATTAGAGAAAAACTTTCGGGGAAAAATTCAGAAAAAATACATTCAAGGAGAAAAGAAAAGTAAGCTACCAGCACCAAGCAAACGACGCGATTTTTTAAAATGTGGCATCAAGGTCTGTGGCATTTATCACAGTCATTTACAGACCTGTGGGACTAATATCACCATACAACATGACAAGTGTTTTCAACCAACCGAATGGACTTGCATCTCAATGCAAAGAATACAAAAGTACCCTTAATCTGCGGAAGCTACATGAAAAACAATCAACATTTAATGTCAAAACATGTTTTGTCTATGTTACCAAATTTCGAAATAACCTTCTGTGTTTGTGTTTAGGAGACGTAGTGCTTTTCTACCTTTAATATGCACACCTAATACAAAAACAAGATCTATTTCGTAATGCAGAATTACATGAAATTGATGGCCAATGACGAAAATGCATTTACTACGTGTTTGTTGATTAACGCCAGACAATATTGGGACCGCACTCAGCAATATTCCAGCTATATGACCGCAGTCTGCAAATAATCAAGTCTGGATCAGACAATCTTGTGATCAACAGCATGAGTTTCGGCCAACGCAACTGGGATACAAAGACACGTGTAAATCAAGTCAGCGAGTCTGACCATCTGATCCCGTTAGTCGTTTCTTACGACAAGCATGGGTCGCTGAAGACAAATTTAACCCGGATCTTCACGGGTCTTTACTACATGTCATATACATTTCATTAAGTGAAGTTTAACTGTCCTTCGTTTACACTTTTTAATTTTTTTTACCTATAACTGTTATTAATATATATCTTGATATAGTCACGATATGGCTGAAATACTGCAGATGAGACTTAAAATTTTAAGTCACTCACTCGTTCATTAAGTGAAACGTCTTCATTTTAATCTGTGTAATAAATGAGATACTGCATGCATTGCATTCTCTTTTTGCTTAATAATGGTTGTGTCTCATTACACAATGAATAATTGCTGTAATAAAGACGAAAAATAACGGTAGTAGACACGATCTCTGACTTTAACAAGGTAATCAGATAGACGTTGATGTGTGAAAAGGTGAGATAGAGCAGGATATTTCTTCATTGCCAGGTCTGATATGATCTGATAAAGCATCAGTGTTTTAAGATTGCCATTTTATTTCTATTTTGATAATTGTAGCAGTGAATGGTCAAATGTCAATACTTATTGAACAAGAAGATCTGTGATAATGGAACTCAGCATGAATGCATTATGATATATTCCTAAGACTAATATTAAAGTTCGTAACTCTCTCATACAAGAGAATTCACCATGAACATATGAATGTAGCAGAACTGGGATGATGCTTAATCAATACAACCCTTTACAATTTGATTATTGATATTATATATATTTGAATTCGGGATTAAAAGATATGAATTCAGGAAAGTGGGTTCGTGTGATCCTGGCTCAGTCAGCCCGTTAGGTTCATCGTCATAGGGGGCCACAGCTCAGAGAGCGAGTGGGACGTCTCCCCGGAAGCATTGCTCAGTCAAACCCACCACAATTAGACAATGTGAACACTACCCAACATAGCTGCTGTTTACCTGGCGTGTTAATAAGGCTGTGTTCATGCAATCGTGCTTGGTTACTCTCCCAGTGCCAGTCAACAGACTTGGTGGTGCCAGTCTCAAGGCACCGTTCGAGCGCGATAGCATTTGGGAGTTTGACAGCTCCGTACTAAGGATGCAAGCCAGTTTCACATATTTGCCATGTACTTCCTGAATCATGTCGACCACATTAGTGTCAAAAGGAACAGAAAAGTCAGTGATCTGAATGGTTACACTGGATAAAGTCATGACGCCCGCTTCATATTCTTGGTTGTACCATGAATGAAGTTCGAGTTCGAAGGCGGCAATAAAAAGTTCGAGCAACACCATCGAGATGCTTGTGATACTGTGTTTGTGTCAACGCTAGGACAAGGTGTTGGACAGTCTTGTTTGATTCAGTGCATACATATATTTCATATATACATTTTTTTGCAAACAATTAAATTAAGATTTCGCGTGTCAATTATTGCTAAGATCTGGACGATGTCAACAATTGAAACCTCCTCCAAAGCAACCACTTATAGCATTTTCACAAATCCATCTCTCAACTGTGAACCATACCTAAATTTTCTGCATTACAATAACTTGTTAAAATTTCGAACTTCAAATCATTGTTCTTCCAATCGAGACAGGTAGATGGCGACTACTCCCAGTAAATGATAGAAGGTGTACTATGCGTAACCCAAATGATATTGGTGACGAATTTCATTATTTATTTATATGTCCCAAATTAGAAATAGAAAGAGAAAAATATATCCAGAAGTATTATTATATAGACCAAATATGTATAAAATGAATATCCTATTTAACACCAAGAAACTAGGAACTTTAACAAAAACTTTCAATTTTTTGTAAAATAATTATGGCTTTATTTAAGAAATAATTTCAATAACTTAATATGTAACTAGCTCGATGTACCATTATCATACCGTTTGTATATACTTTTTATGTTGTATAGAAATGTAAATATTATTTATGTACCCTCTTATGCTGCAGTTTGCAGCCTGAGCGAATACAAATTCAGTTCAGTTCAGTTCAGGGAGGTAATTAGCAGTATGAGAACGCCTGTACCTTTGTTTTTACAAAGCTGAGTGGCCAATGTGAGGACCAAGGTATGTTTCGTCAAGCATAGGATGAATTTCATGATATAAACCAGTTGCAATGCATTGTACTGTTTGAAAGGTATTCAAGCAAGAAGACATTGAATTATCCGACACTCTGTATAATATGACATTTTTTCCCGGTCCAAGTCAGTGACGGATTATACAGGGTCCACTGTAATTCTTAAATATATGCACGCTAAGCTTCTACTCTTGCCTTTACGTGATTGTATATGTTTGTATTGTTGTGAAACATAAAGCAGAAACCTATAAAAATATATTTCCTGTTAGTTGTTTACTTCTATATAGAACCACATCTACATGATATTTCTCACAGACATTACTGCAATAACGAGCATGAGACAGTGGTGATGCAAATCATGAAAAGTTTCCTTGTTTTTTATAATTCAGGACTCATATAAACGTAAAAAAAACACAGTTGAGACATAGACAACTCAGCATAGTTCTACAGCACCAGCGCTATTTTAGATTCGACGGACACTGGAATCAGTGAGCATCTTTTGTTATGTCTCTCCGGTATTATGCCATATTATTATTCAATTCAACCGGTCAAAAACTAGAATGGAAATCCACCAGGTGTTTTTTTGTGCTACGAAGAACCACTTTGACTAAAATCTAACCCGCCGTTGGAAATACATAAATGATATCAAATTAGGTGGACAATAACTGCCTTATGTTGTAAAGGGCAAAATAGGACATATGATGATTGAAGAAGAAGTGTTTTTAGTCATCAAATGTTGACAAATAACGGCCAGATGTAGAAGATGCATGTTGTATATGATAGCTGTGCAATTTGTGTTGATAGCTAATCACCAAATGAGATAGTTCTGTAGAGCAACCCACTCACCACCCACTCATTAAATAATGATATAAAAATGACAAAACTATTTGACATTGAAATCGTTGCTCACATGATGTTATGCAACAGATTTATTAGTCAGCGGTATTGGCGACAGGAGGTATCGTTGCGCATGTCTCGCTGGTGGTGACGTTCCTCACGATGTTCGCCGTTTCCGGAGCATCAATGCGGAACACGTGATTCAGAGATGGTGAAGAAGCTACGAAGTCGACGGTGGAGTTGTCCACTTCTGCAGTCACAGTCACCACAAACACTTCAGCCTTAGATTTCAACTCATCTATGCTACTTCTTACATCTTCATCAGCGCTGCTTTCCCCGTCAGTGAAAAGAAGTACCACGTTTTCGGCGTCAGGGCGATCGCCATTGGTTTCTGTGAAGACGTCAGATGTTGCAAGTTTGATAGCATCCCCGAGAAATGTGCTCCCACCTGTGTGTGCTTGAGAACCAATGGCTTCCATGACACTTGTCTTGTTTTCAATGTAAGTATTCAAGTGGAAAACGACTTCGGCTCTTCCCGAGAAAACCATGAAAGCTACGTTAGTAGCAGTTGGACCAATGCTTATATTACTGATGGTAGTTAGCACAAGGGACTTCACCTTCTCATATTCGCTTTGATTGACAGAGGTAGACATATCCTCTATGATGAGGAGATCCAGTGGCCGTGATGTGCATTCTGAAACATGGCACATGAGCTTGAATTACATCCTTATGTAGGAGAGAACAAGACATTCGGAAGAAACAAATAAACGGAACCAAATGATTAAGACATGACGATCACTGTAAAGGTCATTGACCGTTTCTGTTAGGTCTTTTGAAGACTTAGGCATGTGACTGAGTAAAAGCATGTTATTCAATGTTGCAATATCCAGCCTCATGACAATGATGTTTCGTGATGTTTCTACATTATCACTTAACACATCAGAATTTAATTCTGGAAACCCCAAAGTCCAGAAACTCTCCGCACTGTGGCCAATTTCTGACAAAGATTTATTTCGACAAGATTCAACTTGCAGTTATCATACATACACTAAACGCCAAAAGAAACGTTACACTCCTTCCTTAATGACGGAGGTACCCATCTACAGCTGGCGTTGTGATGCGTGGCGTCCATTTCTTGGTCTGTCTACGGTGACCCCAGTCTGTCTGAAGCCCTGAATAAGTCTTATAACCGTGATACGGTGCCAACCGAGGGCGTTGGCAACAGCATTGTATGTCGAGTCATAGTCGACCCCATCTGCACCATCCCAATGTTTTTTTCTCTCTCTTCGACTGTTTGTCGTGGCATATTTCTCGTACTTGCGTATCATATCATGCATTCTAGTCTTTCTTTACACCCTATAGAATCTTTCTACATGTGAAATGGATGCAAATACTGCTTCACTATTGCTGCGTTTTGGCGACTGATATTGCTATGCGTAAACAGAAAATGGAAAATGTTACTTTTCAAGCAAAAATGTTAACGAAGAAGATTTTCGATGTTCCTAAACATTGTTTCACAATAAAGACACGTTTTACGTGTTTTCACTACTGCAATTAGCAGAAAATGTTTTAAAAGACTTAAATCATAGGAGTGATTATTTAGGAGATAAACCTAGTGTCGCCATCAATTCAGTAAAGTATGTCTCTGATTTTCAAACACACTAGGGTTATCTCCATTCTACCATGACCCATTTAAAATCGAACTTCCTCGCTCTGCGGAAGAAACTGCGTAATCCGGCATGGGACGAAAGGCGAATTGAACTCGTCTGTGAAGGGAGCGGTAGGTGCCGTTCGTATTTTTTTAACATTACAACATAACAATATTCTGTCCAAAGAAATCAAACTACCGTTTATTCAATGCAATTATGTAATACCCGAGATCTTGGGTTTTTTTTCATCCCAACTCCACACGACTAAAACCAGCCTATTGTTTTGTGTGCCGTGAAACTGTACCCCCCTGGCCACACTATAATGGAATCGTCTGACCTACTTATTTTCTTCGAAGTAAACAGTTACGCAACAGTTTGAAATGGCGGACGAGCCAGTGTTTACATTTTGCGAAAGGTTGAAATTTGAAGTGACAGTGGACAATACTTGACTGACTGTTGAATCTGAACCCTGCAGAATCGAAGAATAGATCCTTTCCTGATCAACCTACGACCTGTAACTCATCAAAGACTGTTGATTTTTATGACCGGCCGATCACGATTTCACGTACTGCCTCCACCTCGGCATGCGACAAATTAAGAGTGACAGTGCTGCTGCTTAGTGTACATTAGCCGAGAGCCGCGATGCGGTCCTATACAGTCAAGACATGACCCTGCATCACGGCCGAGAACACCACCTTCATAAATCCTATTCAGATTCTAGTGGCCGATTACCCCTCGTATTTTCTTGAGATTTTTTAAATATATTTCCTGTAGGTTTTGACTGAAAAGTCGATATCGATGTACTCCCAGATAATTTGCCTATACATACACGTAACTGTCATATTTTGGTGATCATACATTTAGATATTAATGGGCCTGAAACCCGTTGAGTTCTTGTTTCAACGATAGCGAGCTGACATGTTGACATGTTGTGCGCATGCGCCAAATTTCTATAGTCCGTATCGGAGGACATTCTTCATTAGCGGTACGCAATACTCACTCTCGCCACCCGTTTCGCGCGCTCGTACTTTGGGTGAATCACACTTAATGTATATTAAATTTATCTGCTTTTATGTCATAATTTACAGATTTCCTTGCAGAGAGGATTCCATTCGTATCTCTACAAAAAGATGTGTCCATGGAATCAAGCAGATTTATAATATACAACGTAGTGTAAAGGACACGTACAATATAGTATGGTTATGTAAAACAAGGTCACAAATTTGTCGTATTCACAGACTGTATGAGATATATTTTTCGGAATGATATAGATTTCAGGAGGTATGTTTTAATTCGGTAGTATTATGGAGATAATTTTTTGTGTAGACGTAATGTTTGTTGCAAGGTATATTAAATTCACACGTGATTACATTTTTCTTTAAAGCCAAAAAATGATGTGATTCTATTCTACTTTTAGTTTAGTACCGGATTTATTTTCTGTCTATTTTATAAGGTTATGGTTCAATAGTTTTTACCTGTGTACATTCAAATAACAAACGAATGATATTTTCAGTTTCAGCATTGCACAAAGAATATAGAGAATATGCTACAATTTTATATTTGAACATGTTTTTATCTGTTGTCAGCATTCTGTGAATAATATAGTGTTGGAATTAATTATCTGAACTTTGTCTTATTCGTTGTTCTTGACGGTAAATAGTTTTCCATCCAATTATATTTCGATATTTCTGTATAAATATCAGTTTGCCATTGTTATTGACTATTTTTTCCTTTAAGGCAATATCCTTTAAACAGCAGCATAGATTAATCTGCATACTTTTCCCTCCATGTATAAAGTTCTGAGGTTACATGGATCGAATAGTTCTTCCAATATGCTATCAAATGATACAGATTATTTCTATATATTATTTTATAGATTTGGTAAGATCTGCATGTTCTCAAAGAAACATAATTTAAAGGATATATTAGTACAACAGAATGATTTACTTTAGGAAAGTTACTAATATATGTTTAAATGTATATAAACACATATTTTTAGGAATTATCATGGTTATGAAATTTGTATTATGTCTTTTTATTGACAATGGTGTTTAATGATTCACTAGGTGTGCGTTTGTCACAAACGTTTAACGATATACTCGGGTTTTTTTAATAATATATACGGCGTAATCACTATATATTGCCAATAATCCCATGACATGATATTAAACTGTTCACTTTATTTCTGCAAGAACTGTACCAAAAAAATTAAAAAACATGATATGTCCTCCCTTTGCCCAATCGCAAGCATCCCTCTGATAGTTCCGTACCAAAGGGGTATTTTTAAGTTCACCTTTCTTCGTATAACTATGAAAAGAATAGCCACATGATAATGAACAATCAGAAGCCTGATCCGGGCATAATATTGGAACATAAATATTATATTTTGAAATATTTTCTTTGACTTTCGCGAAACCGAAGCGAATCAGCTGTGCGCGTTGTACACAGTAAGATGCATGGTAAACTATCCAATTGCTTATCTATCCAGGACATTATTCAAATGGTGAGTGAGTGAGTTAAGATTATAGTCACACCGGCAATATTTTAGCTATATCGTGACTAAACCAATTCATTTATCACTCCCTCCACCCCACCCATCCCCACACCCCGGCATGTAATTTGTTTCCAGAGTCTTAACTCAAAAACCGTTCAATATTTTACAACAAGAAGAAGATGATTTGACAGCTACTCAAAGTCCAACTTGATTTTTTAGACTAAGTCCCAATCGTTTCCATGGAAACCGGGAAAATAAAAATGCCAAATATCTGCAAATAGCAAAAGGCACAACTTTAGGATCTGTTTGATATATCTACCAAGTTTTGTTTAAAAATATCGAACGGTGTTTGAGTTATGCTCCGGAAACAAAATGATTACGGACGGACAGACGAGGCGACGACTATATCCCACCGCATTACATTCCGGTGGGATAAAAATGCATATACATGTATCTACAAAACAGATCAATCAAACTTTATCGATCAGATCAATTTCTTTTATAAAATCAATAATTAAATGACAGTTAACATTATTAAAAAGATCTTTAACCGTTTTGGCACGGAAATATTTATCCTTTGTGATGGAAAAATAACAGTCAAGCAGGACATGTTTGACTGCGATTCTTTCATCACGAGGGGCACAAATGCGGAGGATCCTCACCTTTTCGTAAATATTCATGCGTATATCTTGTGTGGCCAATACGACCTCTTTGCATAATAACCTCGTCAACCGATAGTTGGTTTTATTGAATGTAATTTATTGATACCTACGTCAGTGCACATGTCCAACTTATTCTGCCACAATGTGGGAAGCCCATTTCTGGTGTCCCCCCGCCGTGATATTGCTGGAATATTGCTAAAAGTGGCGTAAAACAATACTCACTCATTTCTTCTCCATGAGATTACGAATATAAGATCTAATGATAGCTAAAAAACAGACATTTGATACTATGATAAACGAGATTTTTATACCTTGAACGGAAATTAGGTGAGATATATACTAAACAACATACAGATGTCATCTTTCTCCGGCGTTGCCAAATATTCACAACATACAACTAATGGGGTGTCGTATTTTCAGAAATGTCATTACATTTGAAAATAAGGCTCGATCTCTGTTAATGATGCAACGTTAGTCAAAATACATCTACATACTCAAGAGAGTTTGGGAATCTAACAACTAATTTCTAGGTAGATAGGATCACCATTTAGCTATTACCTCCTTTCTCATGTGCGATTTCCTAATTCATTATAATTTGTGAACCAAAACGCATCCGGTTACAATGTGGATTTTTTGTATTGAAACAGATTGGATCATCGTGTATATATGTGTGTGTGTGCGTGCGTGCATGCGTGTGTCCTCTATGTCGTCGCTTGACGTCAGAGGAAAATCAACTTTCGTCAAGCCATTTTTCACATTGAACGTAGAAAGTTATACATAAGCATACAAATCCATTTGATGTATTGTTATGTCGTTCAGATATCACGCAGTATTTTATTCGCACAAAG